ACAGAGGGACTAGTAGCTCAGCAAAGGAAATTAGGTTTTTGAACTTTTTAAATGACATATTCATGTCACAACTTGTACAAGCACCAACTATAAAGGACGCTTGTCTGGACTTGTTTTTAACAAACAACGTTGATCTTTTGACCAACTTTCGAGTAGGTGAGCACTTGGGAAATAGTGATCACAATATAGTGTCCTTTGAAATAAACTCAAAAAAAACAAAAGCACAAGGGGTATACTAAAACATATAAGTTTAAAAAGGCCAATTTCTATAAGTTAAGGGCAGCTTTACAATATATTGATTGGCAGAAACTCTTTAGTGAAAAGAACACTGAGGATAAATGGAACATCTTCCAACAAATATTAGAAAGGTAATAAGTATGTACCATTGGGTAATAAATATAAAAGAAACAAATTGAAACCAATGTGGCTTAGTAGAGAAGTAAAACAAGAGATTAAAAATAAGAAAAGGGTATTTAAAGCATTTAAATTGGACAAATCAGATGCATCCTATAAATCATCGGGGTTAGTAATCCTAATCCACCAGGCAGTACAACGAATCATGGGACACCCCAAACGTTCTCTCTCCTGTCAACATGCCTCCAGGAAGAACCCCGCGAGTAAATCAGGGGTGCTCAAAGTTTTTTCGCGATAGTGTGGAGACTCAGGCAGGCACAATAGGCCCCAATATGGCGGTGGAATCCTTCGATGCCGTGTCAGCTCCATTATGTCCGGAAGGATCCAATGGCTCTATATTTACTGGTGATGCAGTCCTTAAATAATTACTCAGAAACTTACCATCTAAGTATTGCCTCAATGCTCCACAAACTAGAAGTATCTTTCCAGAAGAGATTAGACACCATCAGCACTGACATCTGCCATGTAGGTGACCAGATCAGCACCTTGGAGGATGATAGGGATGTGCTTCACTCCCAGGTACAATACCTTCAATCCTCAGCAGAAGCTGGTAAAACACAGATATACTCCATGCACAGGTTAATGGATGATCTGGATAACAAAAGGTGGCGAAACAACCTCAGGATAAAAGGTATGACTGAACAGGAACATAAAGATTTATTTGCAACACTGCAAGAAATGTTCAGTTTAATTCTGTCCATACCAACAGACACTCTGTTACTGTAAGACAGAGCTCACAGGGCACTACACCCCAAGGGGGCTCCCACAGAGCAGCCAAGGGAAGTTATATGCAGAATACATTATTTTACTGTAAAGGAGGATATTATGTGCCAACTGCGCCAATCTTCACAACCCCTCCTATTCCACAACCACCAGATACAGATGTACCCAGACCTGTCATGGTCGACACTCCAAGCAAGAAGGTCCTTGCGGCTGCTGACGGACCTGCTCCGTAACAGAAATATCTGATATAGGTGAGAATACCCCCTTTGCCCTGATAGTTACACATAGAGACAAGACGCACACTTTATTGTCAGCTAAAGATGTAAAAATCTTCATGCAAGCACTGGAGTTACCAGAGGTTAACATTCAGGACTGGTACAGGTCGATTCAGGTGGCACCTGCAGCACAACTACCTCAATGACAATGCTGGCAAACACCTGCGAAGAAAAGGAGGAACGACCAGGGAGTAACCCTGCCAGTGGACAGATCACCTATAGGCATGTCTAGCAAACACTGAACACCTCTTCTTGACAGGTTGATGCTTCTCAGAATAACCAGGTTAAATATTAAGGGGTTTTCCTGCCATGTAAACTTCAGTCCCTTTACGACCGTAACTTTATACCTCTCATACAGACCATTTCTAAAGACCTTTCTAACTGGGACAAACCTCAATTTGGATGGCTATGTAGAATACACATGCTAATAGAGAACATTCTCCCTAAAATTCTTTATCTGCTCCAAACTCACCCTATACGGATACCCAAATCCTTTTTTTCTGAAGTTAGAAAAATGTTCTCCTCCTACATATGGTCCCAAAAACACCCAGACAGACTTTTAAAATATTAACGCGTCACAAACATAAAGGAGATCTGGGATTGCCTGATATTGAGCTTTATCACAAAGCAGTTATATTGACCAGAATATATGAGTGGTCAAATCCACGAAACACAAAACATTGGGTACACACAGAGGCTGAATCGTTTCAATCCCCAACCCATCTTATCCCCTATCTTTAAGATGGGCATCTCTCCATCAAATCCGCTCTAAAATCTTGGCTTGCCATCCATAACCATCCAACCATTTCTCCACATCCATCACCATTATACCCACTAACCAACAACCTGATGTTTCCTCCTGGACTCCATCCCGCACCATTCGACACACTACATAGATCCTCATATCTCATGTTAGGTACAATATTGGGGGCAAAAGGGGTTAAACCCCTCACAGATGTGCTATTACACTTAGATCCTACAACGTTACAGAGGTCCCATTACTATCAACTTACCCATTTTATTGAAGTGAATCCAGCCCTTCGGCAAGGGAATAGAGAAGACACAAACTTGAAACACACTGTTGTTCACAAAATCTTAAATGTAAACACTTATCGTTTTTTTCAAAGCTCTACAGGCAACTGAACAGGCCAACACACCTAAGTTTTACCAAAATTGGGCGAATGACTTAGGTGTTTCTATACCTACTGAAACATGGACAACCATATTCTCAACATTATACAAATTATCTATAAACAATCAAGTACACGAGAGTCACTACAAACGCGTCAAGATGGCACTATACACCATCACAGTTACACCGATTGTTTCCCGCTTCCCCGGACTTATGCTGTAGATGTGGTGCACAAGCAGGTACAGCAGGACATACCCAATAATAAGAGAGTACTGGGGTAGGATACACATGTTGATATGCACAATCACAACAGTGACTATGCCTACTACGCCGGAGGCTTGCCTCTTTCTTCAATACTCTACGCCAATGCCAAAAATCTGGCGCATACTCATTCACCACTTAATTAGTGCGACCAATCTCCTCATCCCAATTAAGTGGAAAAGCGCTCAAGCCCCACTAGTTATAGAATGGATTAATAAAGTTGAATCTATACAGTTGATGGAAGAATTAGCGTATTCTCTCTCGGACAAATACACAATATACTCTAATACTTTGAGTCAATGGACCCAATTCTTAGTAAGCAATCAACTAGCTTAAAAAAGCAGGATAGTTTATCATGCAGAGGCATAAAATATTACCCCTTTTAAACTGTAATTTACTCAACCTTAAGGGTTCAGACCGCAACCCCAAACCTTTCCCATACCTCACCAGGTACACACATGGTTCTTTGTCCACTAGGGATTAGTTGATGACAGACAAGGTGAAGTGAATGTACATTGTGCTCCCTTCACTAAGATTTTAAGATACTAGATGCTACCCTTAGGAGTATACCTCTGAAAAAACACGATCTAAGCTAAACTTATTAGATACCCACCCCAACTTCATTATGGTCAACAGCAGGGGAAAGGGTTTCATCGCAGGGATGGCATCCATTATGGTTTAGACGATTTTCCGGTATTAATATGATGGTTTATTAACAAATGATTTAAAAACAAATGATTTAAAAACAAAGTAAAAATAGCACAACGCGTTTCTACTTTTCAAAGGTCTTCCTCAGGTGCATGTAACAGATAACATGAAAGTTTTTGAATGAGCTTGTTTGGAGGAAATTTATAAAATAAAGCCCCTCTCCAAATAATGCCTTAATCTATCCTATCAAGAGAAAAGAACCTTACAGGAAATTTAAAAAGATCCCTTTATAGTCGTATAGCCAGACAAGGGGTTGGAGTAGTGATAATGAATAGAGATAAATACTTACAGGAGATCGAAAAACAACTTAGTGATGAAAATACAGATAAAGAAACTTTAAAAAGATCCTACCACAGACATCAAAAGAATATATGAAACATTCTTGGAGAAGGGACTAAAGAATAATATTCTAAATAAGGGAGAATTCCCATTCTTATAATTTGATCACCCAAGAATACCAGTAATTTATATACTACAAAATTGCACAAAGACCCTATAAATCCTCATGGTCGCACAATAATATCGGGCATTAAATCTATAGTATCCCCTTTATCACAATATATTGATATCCACTTCCAACCACTAGTGAAGAGTTGTCCCTCAGATTAACAAGACTCATTGAGTCTTTTAAAGATTTCAAAAAAAATGTAAATGGAAAGTTGACTATCTCCCAATTACATATGATATAACTAGCTTATAAACGATTATAGGGCACGAAAAGGTCTGTGAGGCTACAAATGTCTTTCTTAATGGTTCTAAAAAATATGGAGAAGCTCAACAGAACTTTATCTTGGATGGGATCAAAATTATTTTTGTTTCAAGGGAGATTTTTACATGCAGGTCAAAGGAATGACTATAGGGACCAGGTTTGCACCTAGCTATGCCAACCTGTTCATGGCATTTTGGGGAAGAACTTTTATTCATCAGGGGCATGACCTGGTCCTATACAAAAGATAAATAGACATTTTTATCATTTGGAAGGGATCCAGTAATCTTGTTGATACATTTTTTAATTCTATTAACACTAATAATTGGGGAATATGTTTAACTAAAAGTGTGAGCAATATGAGTATTGATTTTTTAGATCTGAATATTTATATTTTTAACAATATTTTAATGACTCACTTTTTTAAACAAGTAGATGTAAACAGCTATATAGAGATAAATAGCTGTTACCACAAACCATGGCTGTATAATATACCTAGAGGACAATTTTTAAGATTACGGAGAAATTGCTCAAACCAACAGGCTTTCTCCACACACTCATGAGTTTTAAAAGAACAATTCATACAAAGGGGTTATAATGATAAACTTTTAAATAAACATGTTGAAAATATCACATTTTTAGATAGATGTCTCCTTTTAAAATATAAGAAAAAGAAAATAGAAAAAACATAAAACCAGATCCCATTCATTTTTAATTATTCAAGCAATGTAGGTACTATTAAAAATATTATAAATAAAAATTGGCACATTTTGAAACAAGAGGATGAAATACAAGAGCTTATAGGTTCTAAACATAAATTTTAAACAAAAAAATGTAAACAGATTTTAACTAACAGTTTTTTTTTTGAAAAATAAGTTTTGGATAATATAAATTTTTTAATTAACTGGTCAAAAAGTCAAAAAAAAAATTCACTGTGGGATGTGCAATGCATGTAGGAGTACAGATATATATCGAACATAAATATAACAAAATTTAGTTCTTCTGTTACAAAGAAAGAATTTAAAATTACATATTTAATTACGTCATTCAAATAATGTAATATATTTACTTAATTGCACATGTGGATACCAATATTTAGCAAAAACATCAAGACCTATAAAAATCTGAATTTTATAACATGACAGGAGGCTTCATATTTGCTTAAGTCTCTCTTTACTAGAACTCCACAGCAGCAAAAAAACACAGAGAGTAAACAACCAATCAGAAAACAGTAAGGAGACAATATAACTCAACCTTCTCAACATTCCATTCCCTCTTTCTTTGCTGCTCCGCATCAGTACAGGTCAGCGTACCACTGCATCCTGCTATTTTAGTTGGTGGCTGTGCCTTCCTTCTCCCTCTGTGATGGTAGGGAGTTAACTTTCTGTCATCCTGCTATTTTAGTTGGTGGCTGTGAGGTTCATTCCCCTTATTCTGTCCCCTTTATTTCACCCGTTTTTCCGACGCACGGGTTTTGCACTGCTCGGGGGTTTCTGGAGGCCGGCCTGTTGCTGCCTCCTCCGATTCCCCCATGCCCCGGGACCGCAGAGTACGTCTCCAGCGGTCCCATGTGTGCTTCAACCTCCGGTCGCGGGGTGCTCGCGATCGAGCGCTCTACCTGCCGACCGGTCGCGGCCAGCTCAATCTGTGGACCGTGTGTGTCCGCCAGGTGGAGGAGGGAACGCTGAACGCTCGCCCCCTCCCCCGCCTGTTAGTAGATCTTTTCCCTTACGCATGTGTGTGCTGTCCTGCTGTGGGGTTCCCATACCGTTAAAGACCGCGGCCTGAGGCCTATCTATATACTGGCGGTCTGGGAACACCCCTTACATCCCTACATTTAACCCTAACACTACTGTGAGGCTGCTGGTGTTGGGCATTTATCTATAAAATCAGTGGCTGTGTGGATAATGACTGCATTGTTATATATGTCACAAGGGTTATTTATAATGATGGTTTTTCACTGCTGGGTTTCTACACCAGCATTTATGTGCCCTATGGGAGTTTTTCACTGCGTCCCCACTGTACTGTATCTGTGGCCTACATTAGACTTTATCACAGGGTGTGCCAGGATCCTTATTTTATTAAATAGGAGTGCTCCAGTATCAGTGACCCTTATACTGTCTTACACCACTGCTACGTGACCTGGAATGCTATGTCTGTGCCCCTATGACTGGCCTGCTTTGTCTGTGCCCATAAGATTGGCCTGCTCTGTCTGTGCCCTTTTGACCGGCCTGCTCTGTCTGTGCCTACTGACTGGCCTGCTCTGTCAGTGCCCTATTACTGAGCCGGCGCTTGTCCGTGCCTAAATCCTTACGGCCGCTGGCCTAGGATATTATCTGGGGAGGTTTTTATACTGAGGTTCGCTGTGACCACGCTGTAGACACTGGGAATTGTGTCCACATACATTGCTCCCATAATAACTGGGTGACACCTGTCATTTCTACCCCCAGGGTCACGCTACGGTCAGGATATGGAGGCTCCCACCCAAGAAAGCCTGCAGGCAATGATCAGCGCGGCCGTTGCCGCTTCTGTGGAGAAAGCACTCTCACGCGCTCTACCCCAGTCATCCCAAGATAAGGATATATCGGAGGCTCAGCACACGCTGATAGAGTCCGGCCCTGACTCACCGGACAGAGACCAGTCATGCGCATCTAAGTGCTACTGGAAAGGTGACGGTCCTGAGCCATCTACCCGGAATGGGTAAGGCTCCTGCAAAACAACCCTGACCACTTCATCTCTGGCACGCCCAAGATACTTCCCAGAAGAGGAGGAAGATTTCACCGTCCCAGCACCCTTGTCCATCCTGGATGAATGGCGGGCAGATCAGTCCCCCTCGGAGGATGAAGGCAGGTGGGGTGGGGAAGAACCGGAGGAGTTGGTGTACCAACAGGACGTCGGTGAAACTACTTCGCAACACCTACACACCTCCTTTGACAAAGGGGCAGTTCAGTGGATGCCGGACAAAGGAGGCTTCTTCAGCTCCATTTTTCTAGTCAGGAAGAAGACGGGAGATTTCTGTCCGGTTATAAACCTGAGGAACCAGAACGCCTTCATTTCCTATCAACACTTCAAGATGGAGGGCATCCATCTTCTAAGAGACTTACTGCGCCTAGGGGATTGGTTCACTCGCCTAGACCTAAAGGACGCATATCTATCCGTTCTGGTGGAATCCGGTTGCCGGCGATTTCCATGCTTCGTTGGAAAGGGAGGCCATGTCAATTCACCTGCCTCCCCTTCGGCCTCAGCTCGGCACCATGGTGCTTCACCAAACTGTTAAAACCGGTAACGGCATGCCTGCGCTCCAGAGGTATTCGATGCCTGATATATCTGGACGATTTACTTCTTTTCTGCGATGACTCCTCCAGGCTGAAATCTCAGACGATCTACACGGTCTCCTTGTTCAAATCCCTGGGGTTTGTGGTCAACCAAGAGAAGTTGGCCCTCACGCCGACGCAAGTAGTTCAGTTTTTGGGATTCAAAATAGATGCGACTCAGTGCATCCTACGCCTCCCTCAGACCTAAATCATGGCCATTTGGAAAGAGATCCAATGGATCCTGCGCCAAGAAATTATCCCACTCAGGGTCTTGGCACGAGTGGTGGGCCTCTTGTCCGCATCGATCCGAGCCATCTACCCAGGTCCCCTTCACTACAGGGCCATGCAGCGCCTTAAAGCGCGCTTCCTACGCCAGAAACCCTCATACGACCAACTGAATCCCATCACGCAGGAAGTCAAGACCGAACTTCACTGGTGGCTGTTACACATGTCAGCCTGGAACGGCAAGGCGCTTTTAGGACCGACTCCAGATTTTGTCCTAGAATTGGATGCGAGCCTATGGGGATGGGGGGTGACCTGCACAACCACCTCCTCGGGAGGCCCCTGGTCAAGCACGTAGGCATGATATCACATCAATTGCCTGGAAATGATTGCAGGCTCATTCGCTATATGCAGCCTTGCAGGTCATCTGTCAGATTGCTGCATCCTGCTGAGAATGGACAATGTATCGGCGGTGCACTATTTCAACCGCCTGGGAGGGCCCGCTCACGGGCACTGACGGAAATCACGAAGGAGATTTACAACTTTTGCCTTCAGCGCAATATCACTCTCCAGGCGGAGTATCTTCCAGGGGGGCCCAAGGGGCCCATTCACAGTGGATCTGTTCGCTTCCAGAATGAATTTACCGAATTACTTCAGCTGGCTCCCAGATCCGACGTGCGCAGCAGTGGATGCTTTCCTTCAGGACTGGCCGTCACAGGGAGCCTATGCATTTCCACCGTTCACTATGATCTCCAGGGTGCTATTCCAGTTACGGCAACAACAAGTATCGTTGGTGTTGCTGACGCCTCTTTGGCAGGGCCAAGCCTGGTTCCCAGAATTGCTGGAGCTGTCATGTCGGGACCCGCTTCTTCTCCCGTCCCTGCAAATGCTCCTGTCGGATCCATGAGGCAACCATCATCCCTCGTACTGGAAGGCCATCTCCACTTGGTGGCTTGGACTCTTTCTGGGGTACCTGGAATGTCAATGAGCTATCGGGATCAGCTAGAAACCTCCTCTGGGACTCATGGGCCCCCTGGAACGAGGAGATGCTATCTGTCCGCCTGGAACGTTTGTCGTTGGTGCGTGGAACGGAGTAGCGATCCCTTTACAGCACCTATATCCAGCGTACTGAATTTCCTTTCTCACCTCTTCGACCAAGTCCAACTCCACTGCCCATTTTTTCGAGAGGCTCCTAAGCTCTGTGTGGTTTCTACCCTGTCTCGCTATGTGACAGTTACTACCCCGCTTCGAAGTTCCCAATCGGGACAACTGTTGATATCTTACGTACGTCCACATAAACCGGTTTCGGACGTTACTTTGGCTTGCTGGATCAGGTGGCTATTGTTGTTGGCTCGAGAGAGGACACCTTCCGACAGTTTTACTTCAGACCGACGGAACATGTATCGTTTGCCCTACTAGCTGAGCGTTGAAACAGCAAATATGAAGCCTCCTGTCATGTTATAAAATTATAGATTATGCTAGCTTTAGTGTACCTATAATCTTAATTTTATTAATGACAGGAGGCGAATATTTCCCACCCTTTTTGTTCCCGACCCTTGTTGTATTTTTTATCTTGTATGTTGAGTATTAATAAAGAGTTATGTCTCTGGTCAGTATTCCTTGTGATTATTTACCTTCTGTATTTTTCATTTGCCTAGGGCGGGGATCTGTAGACTAATTTGCACTGGGTGGCTGCATGTTTTTTATACGCACATTTCGTTGGCTAATCACAATTTTTTATTCTGTTTCTCTCGTTTCAGTGTAAAGTTCTCAGGATGGGATCACGTTCAGGTCTTCAATTCGGTTGAAGAATCCTATGAGAGTCGTTATTTCTGATGGAGATGGACTGTTACTGTTATTTTATGTTTTTTCTGACTGTGTTTGTTATCGCAGCTTGAAAGAGGAAATGTAATGTTGAGAAGGGAGTTATATAGTCTCCTTGCTGTTTTCTGATTGGTTGTTTACTCTCTATGTTTTTTTGCTGCTGTGGAGTTCTAGTAAAGAGAGACTTAAGCAAATATTTGCCTCCTGTCATTAATAAAATTAAGATTATAGGTACACTAAAGCTAGCATAATCTACAATTGGTGAGCATATAAGAAATATCAAGAAAGGGTTCACCAACCACAGTGTATCTAAACATTTGTTAGAGAAACTTGGTTTAGATCCAAAAATTTTAAAAATATGTGCAATAGAAAAGTTAGTTTGCACTGGAGAAGAGGAGATCTCCCCCCACCCCCAAAAAAAAAAAATTGAGTACCCAAGAGGTGAAATGGATTGTTGAAATGCACACCTTAACACCTATGGGTCTCAATATCGACTTTGAGATAAAAAATATTCAATAGGTCTATAAAAAATTACCTCTTATTTTCCATTGTCTTATACTTATGTTTAAAAAAAAAAATTATTACACCCCTACTTTTATCCTTTGTCCCACTTTGTATTGTTCTGTGTCTTTTCCTATACTGCACTAGTGTGAACATGCTTTTATAATTTATACTGATATAATCAGAAATTATGGGCACATAAAATATTGAATTCGGTTTATATATGTGCTCTGTGACTATTTATATATATATTTTTAGGCGATTTTGATATATATTTCTCTTTTATTATCCACTTCAATGTGCTGCATGAACTTTTGGGCACCTTTGCCCTTCTTAAAAATGGACAAACAGAACTTTGGAGTCAAATTACTCCCACTAAATGATTAGGAGTTGAACCACCTCCCATCGGATGTTTGACGACATCTACATCACAGGAAGTGACGTATCAGGATTATGCCGACCAGAAGAACTGGAGACCAATGCTTGATATTAAGAAACCGTCACAGGAAGTGACACAAGGACGGACAAAACAGAACGGAACTGAAAAAAGGAGGCTATAGGAGCATTGTGGACATCTTGAGGTGGGAGAGGGTATTAGGCTCGAGACCTGACGTAGCGCCATATAAGGGATGGCGGCACACATCCGGCATTGACCATATTTGGGTGTGGGTGTTTTTTTTACACACATATGTTTTAAATTGTTTCATTGTTTAGCTTATTTCCTGGCATTTATATATATAGCCATACTTGTTCAGTCTGTGAAATATATGCACCTGAGGAAGATCTTTGAAAGGTTGAAACCTGTTGTGCTATTTTTACTTTGTTTTTTAATAACTAGTTAATAAACAATCATCTTTTAATACCTACCCTGGACTCTCGAGTTCCTGTGTTGTACCAGTGCTGAGGGCGACTACTTGAAATTCCACCATATATCTCTTTGATGAGAGGAAAAGCGCCATAAGTACCGAGCCAACTTTTAATGGGCTCTAAAAATTGTGAGTTTGAAGAAATACTCTCACACACATATTTTCATACATACAGATTACACTATGTATGTTTTTTAGCGTATTTAATATAGGTAAAATAATTTTTTATGTATTGGTGACCAAAGAAATATTGAGTTTAAGGTAAACCAAAATAAATCACCTTACTTGTTTGCAATTTTATCACGTTTAAGTGTAAAGAGTGACATTACACTTAGGTTGTTTTTAGATGCACCGGACTGCTTATTTTAAAAGCGCCACTAGGTCCTTTATTTCTTATCTCTTTTAGTTATCTGCTGTGTTTGTATCTTATTTAACTGCCTTACTTAAAAATCAATACACAGGGAGCGTGGCTTGCCGGTTCATGGATTAAGTTGCACACCAGAGAGGCCCACATAGCCCCAAATAATAGCCTTCCTACTGCTACTCATGAGGAATCCAAGACGCCTAGGTACTCCTGGACCCTCCTGCACAAGCCCACAGAGGAGAAACACAGGCCCCATGCATGAACTCTAAATGAAATGAAGTCTCCGAACTCGAGGCTGAAAATTTGCAGGCCAGACAGCACTCACAAGCCACAGATCATGCTACGGCCAGACACACTATAAGGTTTTTTACTGTAAGAACAATAAGGATGTGGAATTCTCTGCCTGAAGAAGTGGTTTTATCAGAGTCCATATAGATGTTCAAACAGCAACTAGATGCATACTTGCAAAAACAGAATATTGAAGGATATCATTTTTCAATGTAGGGTAATAGCTGCTTGATCCAAGGATAAATCTGACTGCCATTCTGGGGTCAAGAAGGAATTTTTTTCCTAATTTGTTGCAAAATTGGAAGTGTTTCAAACAGGGTTTTTTGCCTTCTTTTGGATCAACAGCAAAAACAAATTTGAGGAAGGCTGAACTTGATGGACGCAAGTCTCTTTTCAGTTATGTAACTATGTAACTATAATATTGATCATCAGTCTCATTTTTATATGCTGATGCTTTGGTTTTGGAGTAATTTGGTATAATTGTATTCAATACTATTTTAAAGATAAATAATCACAAGGAAATGGTATAGAAACTGGTATTAAACATTTATTTTGTATATATTTGTGAATGATGAATGACCTGTGCTGGATACCTTATCAGGTAAACGGTAAACAATAAACACATTTGAAAAATGCAATGGAAAGAAAAAAAAAGGACATTCCATTTACTATTTCTGCAATTTCTCCTAAAGTTAAACAAACACATATTAAAAATGCATTTAAAAGTCTCAATGACACAAATACAGTACATAAACAAGTAAAATCACACGTTAAAGCAATTGTGTACACATTTTCAGTCAAGGTTTCTTTTCTGAATTTTCAAAAAAATGTATGGACTGATTTCTTTTTTATTACAAGAAAGAAACATTTTATCGCTAACACACATGTGTATATATATTTTCTTAGTTCATTATGTGTATGTAGAAAAAATATAGCAAGCAAAGGAGACAGTCAGATAGTCATGGTAGCTAGGTTTCTACATTTACATACAAATATTATTTTAATCCAAAATGATGGTACGTTGCATAGTGATATTTTTGGCTAAAAAGCTTAAAGATGCAGAAATGGTGATTGTATATTTTTAGTCAAAATTTGTTGATCACTGTTTCATTCTGGGTACTTGTTTGGATTGTCCGTGTGCTGAAAAACAGAGAAATAAGTAGTAAAAACTTTTTCTAAGATATATACATTTAACAAATAAAAAAAAAAATCTTCCAAGTGTTATTTAGTTTTTCTTTGCCTTAAATAAAACTTTTTTTTTCTCTCTTGATATTTCTAAATGTTTTTCTGCTTGTACAGCACATTAATAGCACAAAATACACTATGGAGGAGATTTAAGTGTTGTTTTCTGAAATTATTGTGTAATGTTAAAAATGTGGGACAATCACCATGGAAACCAGGGATGCAGCAGGCTTATTACTATTGGTGATTCATCCCCTTTTTCATATTTGCACTACTTTTCAGAACACAGCAATTTATATGTGTTACTGTTACTAATATTATAGAAAAACTTCACCACTAGATAATTCCAAAGAAAAAAAAGTTAAAATTTTAGTCTGTACAATATTTGTATATGATAGTGAGCTGGATAACCAACATGGCAAGATAAAATCTATACATTGTACATATTTAAGGATTACATATTAATTGGAACAGGTATCAAATCTTTAAAATAACTTAATAATGAAATTAAAATAAACAAGAATAAAGGTATATTTGGACTTTGCTATATTACAGTTGTTTTGAATTAATCACTGTTATTAAAGGATCACTAGACTCAGGAAACAAACTTGCTTTCCTGGCACTATAGTGTTAATAGGTCCCCCCACACTCATGCTCCCCCTCCCGCTGGGCTCTAGGGGGAGGAAGGTGTTAAACGCTTACCTTTCTCTAGCGCTGGGCTCCCTCGGCGCTGGGGACTCTCCTCCCTCTTCTGCTGAATGCGCATGCGCATGCGCAAGAGCCGCACACAGTCAGTCAGTCCATAAGAAAGCATTTTCAATGCTTTCCTATGGACGCTGGCGTTTTCTCACTGTGACAATCACAGTGAGAAGCGCGGAAGCACCTCTAGCGGCTGACAATGAGACAGCCACTAGAGGCTGGATTAACCCTAATGTAAACATAGCAGTTTCTCTGAAACTGCTATGTTTACAGCTGCAGGGTTAACCCTAGATGGACCTGGCACCCAGTCCACTTCATTGAGCTGAAGTGGTCTGTGTGCCTATAGTGGTCCTTTAATCGCTGTAATAAGTTATTGTAATGATGGTGCAAGAATTAAATAGATATGTACTATGATATCTGATTTGAGAATATGTACATCAGATGTAAATAAATTGAGAAAATAATGGATCTTTGACTTTGTTTTTGTCTCATCTGCTCAATTCCATTTTTTTTAATTTTAATTTACTGTACTCCAGCTATACAAAACAACAAAACTTGCCTGCTCTACTAACATTTGTAACTTTCTACCTCAGTTTTACAATGACCCCCATTCATATCTAGGAAGGAAGAAAACTGGTTGAAGCTCTAAACCTCTGCTTCATTAATTAATTTATTATTCAATCATTCATATACTCGGTATTCCTCTTTATTGTGCATTTTAAGATATTAGTGATAAAGCCTACATTGTAGTGCTCTTTTTTTTAGGTAATTGATTAATAAACGATATTTAAAGAGAAATAGAAATGGATAAATACATGACATAAGTGATACACCAATATGTTTTTCTCAACACACTAAATTGTACAGAAAAAAAAGCTAACTAATAAAACAATTGTAGAATATTCTTACCTAAACGGGCGTTTCGTTGGTAGACCTAAAGGAAAACAAGGCACTTTTCGTTAAACTAGTTTCAATGGCAGATAAACAAAGCCATTATTTTAGGTGACAGATGGTGGTAAAGTGCTAAGTGTCATAGCAAGAGAAAGAATTTGTAAAACAAATATTATAAATGTCTACATTCTTGTTCTCGATAAAGAAGTAGACAATGTGTCAGATTACTACACTTTCTGTACACACTGGAGGTAAACAGTAGGACAATAAATGGAATGGCCTTTCCATTAGTGTTTTTTTACATTATGAACAAATCATTCAATTTCATTTAATTTGCACATTTTTTCACTATTGTTTACAACATTATAAACATGCAAGAGGTCTTTGCACTTTACTCTCCTCTTGTCATCACTACATATGCTTTGTGCTTAAATGAAAAGCTATTTACTGAACTAACAGCTACACGGTTGATTGTCCTCAGTCTTAACAGTACAGAGCTATACATCTGTCTTTCCTTGTGCTATTTCCTAATGGCCTAAGCAATTATTTACACTACTATATAAATACACTAGTGTCAATATATAGAAATTATTTAGGGGAAGGAATCAAATGTCGTGCTTAATTACCTTGGCATATGCAGCTTCTTGTCTAAGATTTAATAAATCTCCTCGTTCTGAAGTTTTTGCTGAAAAGTAAATTAAAATAATATAATATGCATATGATAATTTAATATTAATATATATTTTTTATTTTCAATCTTCTCACCCTGATATTAAAACTCAATCAAAGTTCTACATATTTTAGCCACATTATGCTTGCATTGATTGTATGCATATGCTGTACAATATATATTAGCTTAGTAGAATCATATCTGAGTTATAAAGACACTACACAGATAAAAAACAAACATGACGGCATGTTTTAATATAACCTGCCAATTATTCAATGCTTTATTATAGTTTATTGCACCTGGGTGTATTGTTTCTGTTGAGGGCTGGCTCTAAGTTAACACCTCTACTCATATGAATCATTAATACTTATTTAATGGAGTATTGATGCAGTCAATAAATATCAATTTACTGTATTGTACTAAGTTGATGATTACTGAAATTTTGCATTATGTTGAATTTATTGGCTTTTGGAATTATATATTTATATATTTGCAAGCATCCAACTATCCAAATAAACACTGAAGAAAACTGAAACACTTTGTATTGTTATTGTTCTCAGTTAACATCCCCATCAAAATGATTAGGTGTCATAAAATATACATGAAATTTAAAGGGACACTATAGTCATGAGAACAACTACAGCATAATGTAGTGGTTCTGGTGTCAAAAGCTTGTCCCTGCAAAGTTTTTATGGTAAATGCTGCCTTTTCAATGAAAAGGCAGTGTTTGCATTACTGCCTAATAACACCTCTAAAGGCAGCCACTCAGACGGACACTAGCAGTGCTTCCTGGTTCAGTGCTGCACAGTGTGCAGCTCTGCATGGAGATGCTGAACACTCACCACAGTGATGCATTGATACACAAATGTGCATGTGCAATAGCTCCCAATGCTTTCCTATGGGAAAACATTGAATTGGCTGAGATTTTAAAAATGTATTATCTTGGTCACAGATGGAGAACTAGGACCAGCACTACATGAGGAACAAAATCACCATATCAGAGAGTCCATACAGCATCACACAGACACAATAGTGTCCTATTTGTGTTCCTGACACTATGATGTTCTTTTAATTAACAGGGTTATAATATAAAATAAAAAAAGTATAAGATATACAGTATATTTATATGATGTATATATAAACACACACACAAAAAAAACACATATATATATATAAAACCACCTGCCTTATATCATGTAGGTCCTCCTCCTGCTGTCAAAACAGCTCTGATGCATTGATACATCAGGCATCAAGACATTTGCAGCAGATAATTTAAGTCCTGCAAGGTGTGAGGTGGTGCATCCATGGATCAGATTTGTTGTTCCAGCATAACCCACAGATGCTCAATCTAAATGAGAGCTGGGGAATTTGGAGGCCAAGGCAACACCTTGAACTCTTTGTTATGTTGTTCAAACCATTTCTGAACAATGTTTGCAGTGTGGTAGGGTGGATTATCCTGCTGAAAGAGACCACTGCCATGAAGGAACACCACTGCTATGAAGAGGTGTACATGGTCTACATCAATTTCTAAGTAGGTGGTATGTGTCAATTTAACATCCCCATAAATGCCAACACCCTTAGTTTCCGAGTAGAACAGTGTCCATAGCATAACACTGCCTCCGCCACCCTACCTTCTTCCTATAGTTTATCCAGCTTCCCCAGTCAAAGAACACACACCCAGCCATCCACTTGATCTAATAGAAAATATGATTCATCAGACCAGGCAACTATCTCGCATTGCTCCATGGTCCTGTTCTGACACTCATGTTACCATTGAAGGCACTTTTGGTGGTGGACAGGGGTGATTATGGGCATTCTGACCTATCTGCAGCTACATAGCCCCATAAGCAGAAAACTGTGTTGCATGAGTGTGCTAACACCTTTCTGTCAGCATTAAGTTTTTCAGCAATTTGAGCTTCAGTAGCTCTTCTGTGTGATCAGGCC